GGACAGAGGCTGGTCACAGCTCTCCTACTGTGTGTGGACAGAGGCTGGTCACAGCTCTCCTACTGTGTGTGGACAGAGGCTGGTCACAGCTCTCCCACTGTGTGTGGACAGAGGCTGGTGACAACTTTTCTATCTTTTAAGAAAGCACGTGGGAGGAAATATCACTATGTGAGTAAAAACACTTTGAAAGCCCCCAGCATCATTCAAACCCCAAAGCAGCTTCTGTTAGCGGGAACCTCGCAGGAGCCAGGCACTTCAGGCTCCAAAACCACCTGCTGGTTGGGAGAGCTTTCCTGTCTCTGTTTTGCAGAAGAAGAAATCTAAGTGAAGACCAAAAGTCCATGGGATACTGTCTTTTCCCGGATCTCCTCTGTACTTGCTGGAGTGCCTGGAGCACATAGGCTTTCCATAATATTTATCAAATGAATGTTTTACTGAAGTCCAGCAAGTATCATCCAGGTCTTTCTGATTTCAAATCCGTATCACTGCCATCGGCAGCATGGGTAACATTTATGGAGTTCCCATTGTTAATTTGAACCACACAGAAGAAACATTTTTTAAAGTTTTTTTAATATTCATTTTTATTTTACGTGTATGGGTATTTTGCCTTCATGTGTGTATATTCACCATCTGCATGCAGTACCCACAGAGGCCAGGAAGGGAGAGAGAGCCCATGGAACTGGAGTTACAGCTGACTGTGAGCTGTCGTGCGGGTGCTGGGAATTGAACCTGGGTCCTCTGCAAGAGCAGCAAGTGCTCTTAACTGCTGAATCATCTCTCCAGCCCCGCAAAAGTAACACTTTTTTGATAGACTTGACAGGATACATATTTTCCCATTTGTGGTTGGTGTTGTCCCCTCTCAGAATTTAGAATTGCCTTGGGGGTGAGCCTCTGGGCAGGCCTAGTCATTTTGATGATATTAGATGATGCGGGAGGATCCATCTTAACTTTGGGCAGAACCATTCCCTAGGCAGGATACCTCAGACTGGATATAAGCGGAGGAAGCACACTGAGCATCCATGCATCCCTTCATCCCTGCTCTCTGTTCCTGAGGACAGATGCTACGTGACCAGCTCCCTCGAGCTCTGTGACCTCTCTACTGTAAAGGAGTGTAACTTAGAATTGTGTGCTGAAATAAATCCTTTCTCAAGAGGAAAAAAAATAATCCCTTGTGTGTGAGCCAGAAACAGCAAAGTTCCCAATAGATACAAGGCTCAATTGTTCTGTGTTGAAGCTGCTGTAGGCTTCATGGATACCATTTACCTTCATCACCATGAGGACTTTAACATGAGTGAGTGGATAATGGTCTTATTTTACAGTAAGGAGACATAGGTTGAGAAAAGCCCAGCAAACCCACACTGGGAATGGTGGCTCACACCTGTAATCCCATCACTCGGGAGACTGAGGGGAGTTCAAGGCCAGCCTAGGATACTTGTCAAGAATCCAGAAAGAAGCTGGGTGGTGGTGGTGCTCACCTTTAATCCCAGCACTTGGGAGGCAGAGGCAGGCAGGTCTCTGTGTTTGATGCCAGCCTGATCTACAGAGTGAGTTCCAGGACAGCTAAGGCTACAAAGAGAAACCCCGTCTCTTGGGAGTAGGGGAGAACCTATAGAGAGAGAGGCTGGAGAGATGAGCCAATGGTTAAGAGCCTTGCTGCACTTCCAAGACCAGGGTTTGATTCCCAGCACACAAGCCAGCTGCTCCCATCCATCTGTAACTCCAGTTCTAGGGGATCTGACACCCTCTTCTGGCCTCCAGGGGCAACTGCATTCATGTGCACAAACCCATACACAGACACACAGACACAGAATTTAAAATAAAATTAACCATTTTTTAAACCATCTAGAAATAAAGGAGGGGGAAGAAAAAATAAACTTCGAAGTCTGTCCTAATTCCTAAAAGTCACAAGATTGCCACAATTAATTATGTCATGATTAATGATTTGCATTGCATAAAGTTTTCCCATTTGGACATCTCTGTTCTGACTTTCATTGGCCTATTTCTCTTTCAGTTGAAATTTAACCGGACATAAACTGATGGGCAACAGGTGTGGAAAGGATTCCTATCCCCTGCCTTATGCAGGGAATAGCAGAGACCTTTCAAGAGGAACTCAAGCCATGTGAACCACAAAGCAGGTACAAACCCAGGTTCTAAAATTATGAAATTAAATAAGCCACTTGTCTGTCCAGATCTTGGCATAGTCTCTAAAGTGAGAGGTCTGGACAGAATAGTCTCTGGGGTTTCTTTCAGCTGAACAACTTATATAATCTCTGCATTCATAAAAAAAAAAAATGACAATAATCAACTGTAGCTGACTGGTGCGTTTGAGCCCTGGTGATGTGGATGTTTGTTTTGACAGAGACGCATATTTCCAGGGCTCTGAAATACTCTCAAACTCCCTTTGTATTCACCTAGCTGGAGAGGCAACAGCAGATTTACCTAGCATCATTCAGACCCAACAAAACTCACAAGTCTTCATATGGATTTTCTTTGACTTGATTTTTTCAAATAATGCCAGATATATTTTTATAATCTCACTCAGGGTAGAAAATGGAAAATAAATGATGAGCTACTGAGAGCCTTCAAGGCGCTTAAGGAGACTATGTGGCATCTCTTCAGTGGTTTCTAATGCTCGTGGGAGTAAGTCTCCCTGTTGGCAGTAACATATCCATCTATCTACTTATCTTCTTAATTTTTAATAGGATTAATTTTTATTGTTGTTTTAATTATATGTATATGTATATGGGGGAGCGTGTGTGTGTGTGTGTGTGTGTGTGTGTGTGTGTGTGTGTGTGTGTGTAGTACCCCTGGAGGTCAGAAGAGGGCATCAGATCCCCCCTAGAGCCAGAGTCACAGGCAGTTGTGAGCTGCCTAGAGTGGGAACTGGGAACTGAACTCTGGTCCTCTCCATGAGCAGCAAATGCTCTTAATCACTGAGGCCCCTCCCTCCAGCCCCCATCCACCTACTTTGTAACTGTCCTTTTGTGTATTATTAACCTTCCTACATTCAGGACAAAGTTGGCATACAATAAATGTTCCAAGTGTATTTACAATATAAATTAGTCCAGTAAAAGAAAGAATGCTTAGAAAAACTCCAGAAGTCGGAACTGAAAGAGCCAGCCACGCTCTAATCCTGCCCATGCGCTCACCAGTTGACGAACCCTGAACCCAAGTGTCCTCAAGGGTCGCGGGGAAACTAACATCCACTGGGCATACTTTATAGAGCGGTAGAAAATGATAATAATCCCGTGGTTTGTCAAATGGTCGCTTCTGGCCTTTCGGTATGGGCCCTGCCGGACCACTGACGCGGCTCCAATCACACTGAGCCGCCACCAGACAAATGCAGGTCTCGGCCAAGGCTTTCTGGTGCTCCATCTCCAAAGAGAGCCAAGAGCATATGATTCTGGTTTCCATTTAATTGCAGAGCACCTCTGGGAATCCATCCGTCCTTCAGAATCGTTGAAATCAAGACTGTGTGCAGCTGATCACCCAGGTTCGGCTGGAGCCCAGCCCGCGCTCTGTAGATGCATGCCCGAGGAAGGGCCAGAGTGCTGCGAGCTTATTAACCCAAGAGCCAGCGGCGGCAGTTCCCAAATAGAGCCAGCCCTCTGGCGCTCTCATTTACAATGCCCTTGTATCTGAGCTAACACTGCTTGCAGATTCCGAGTCACATTTAGCCTTAAATCACCCTTGTCAGCGAAGCGCTCTCAACCAGCCACCAGGGAGCAAGCATTAACGATGCATGACCACGCCACACTGCGCCTGCACTGAGCATGCCCGGAACACAACCTCCCCAGGGCTTCTCATCTCTCCAGGGCAACCTGGATGAGAGCTGTAGGTCCAGTCAAGGCTATTCAACAAAATGCCTGCCCTCTGAACCCCCGAGAGCTGCACATTATAGAAAGAGAACTCACAAAGAGAAGTCACGGTTACCTTGGCTGCAAAGTAGTCCGGCAGTCCAGAGTACCACAAGGAAAGTGGGGTATGCATCGACGCAGTTCTGGCTGCAGGGCAAACAGGGCAGAAAGAAAGCAGAAAACACGTGACTACAGTGTGGCCTGAAAATTACCTGAAGACCCCAGTTCATAATCGCGGTTGTGCAGGGGTCACAGGCCCCTCTCTTATCTGCCGCCTACCCTGAGGGAGCAGCCAGCAGCACATCCCACAAATAGCGGGAACAAGGAAGCGCGCTCGGAATTCATTAACTCTGCTCCTAGGTGAAGCGGATCAGAGACCACGCTTCTTTGGCAGAGCTCCTGTGGTGGGTGGTGCCCGTGCACTTCTTGGAGAAACAAGTGAGCAACGCAGACCACAAGGTGTGGCAGAGGGGAAAATGCCCAGCCAAGGGAAACAGATCCTCAAAGCGTTAAAGAAACCAAGGTCCGCCGGACGGTGGTGGCGCACGCCTTTAATCCCAGCACTCGGGAGGCAGAGGCAGGCGGATCTCGGTGAGTTCGAGGCCAGCCTGGTCTCCAAAGCGAGTTCCAGGAAAGGCTCAAAGCTACACAGAGAAACTGTCTCGGAAAAAAAAAAAAGAAAGAAAGAAACCAAGGTCCATTCACAAAATCCGATGCGGGAGGGCTTCCAGAGTCCCCGGGAATGCTGCCGCTCCACGCCGGGCACTGTGCTGGTGTCTGCCATCCGTCCTCTCCCTTGTAAGCGTCCCACGTTCCTGGGACTGCACCAGATGACTCTGGGTTCGCTTTAGCGATTGTTACACTTGGCCACCAACTCAGTGGCTTAAAACGCCACAGATTCATTTTGTCACAGTTCCAGAGGGCAGAGTCCGAAATGAATCTCCCTGAGCTGTATGTAGCTCAGGTGTAGACAGGTTTGCATTCCCTCTGAAGCTCAAGGGGGTTGGAGGGGGGAGGGGGCGGCTACTGCCTTGACTCTCCAGACTCTGAGGATACTCCAGTATTCATTGGCTCATGGCCCCTGCCAATCTCAAAGCCAAGGACAACCAATGAGCCTTTCTTCATGTAAAGCCTGTCTCCTCATTTAAAAGGTTCTATTTATGGGTCTGGAGAGAAGGCACGGTTACTAAGAGCTCTTGATGCTCTTCCAGGGAACCCAACTTTAGATGCCAGCATTTATCTCCATTGGCTCACAGCCACTTGTAACTCCAGCTCCAAGGGAGGGATGCAACATCCTCTTCTGGCATCTTTGGGCACCTGAACACACACACACACACACACACACACACACACACACACACACACACACGCCTGACTTACATGAGCCAGGAAAGATTTTTTTTCCCCAAAACCAACCTGCATTTCTCCATATAATGAAATGACAGCCTCGTAGGAATAGGGTGTGTTAGGGGGCCATTGTTCTGCCTATCATAACTACAGCCATATTCAGAGGAGAAACCAAATGCCTAGAGCAGCTGATTAACTCTCTAGGGTTTCCCAGCTCAGGAGTGGGGGCTGAAGGCGGCCAGAATTCACACCCAGCCTGTTTGTCTCCAAACCCTGGAACTTTTTCACAATGTAAACAATAAGTGTTCTTGGGTACAGCTTGTAGACCCTAAACTAGGATTTAAAAAATACATGCAGCCTGTTGGTGGTGGCACACCCCTTTATTCCCAGCATTCTGTGGGATTAAAGATCTCTGTGAGTTCAAGGCCAGCCTGGTCTACAGAGTGAGTTCCAGGACAGCCAGGGCTACACAGAGAAACCTTGTCTCAAAAAACAAACAACAACCAAAGAACTGCAATGAATATGGAAAACCACTGGAACAAGGGAAGGAGAGGTATTATTCAGGGAGCCACAGGAGACTGGAAAGAACAGCTGACTGGGACGCGGTCCTTGGCGGGACTTTAACCAGCTTTGGCATGAGCTGCCTCTCTGGGTTCCATGTCCTCACCCACAAAATGAAGAGCGCAGCAGTAACTCTGCCCTCTGAGGTTCTAAGTCGGGGGTGTAATGCAGAGGTGCTCATGTGGTCCTCATCCCAGAAGTCCTCACACGCAGCCTGTTGGTCTCCAAACTCCGGAACTCCTTCACTATGTAAACGAGGCAACTGAGGACGTCTTAGATCCACAAGTGCATGTCCCAGCTTAGGCGTGTGGCACTGGAAACTGGGCAAGGTGCTCAGCCACCCATGCCTTAGCCAGCCTTCCAGGTGATTCCACGCATGGTGCAGTTTGGGGCCATGGGTCGGCAGGGTTTAAGCTACACAGGTAAAAGCCAAAATTCGATGTTCAGGCTGCTTCTGGCTAGGGTGTCATGCCTCAGAGCCACTGAGATCTGCTGTTCCTGTTTGAGTATGGGTGCAGTCCCCCATATATTATATACACTACATATCGACATACACTGCACACCGGTCCCAAGAATGCAGTGCTAAAGACCTCCGGAGACGGGCCTATGGCTGTCACTGAAGATGTGCCCTGAAAAGGTTTGTGGGACACTCTCTCCTCTGTCCCCCTCACCACTCTCCCTCCCGCCCTCCTCCCCTCTTTCTCTGGCTTAAACTATGACCCCTCAGACTAACACCTTTCCACTGCGATCCAAGCTATGCTTCCCCCACCATTAACCCGACCCTATCGGGTCAGCTGATCATGTACTTGAACCTCCAGAACCACGATCCCAACAAACCTCGGTTCTTCAAAACCAGCCCGAGACAGCTGTTTTGTTATAGCAGCAAAAACCTTGGCTTGCTTTTGCTTTCTATGGCTGGGATACAACATCATAACCAAAATCAGCTCGGGATAAAAGGGCTTTATTTTTTCACCTTACAGCTTATAGTCCATGAAGGGAAGTCAGGGAGAGGACCTGGAGGCCGGAACTGAAGCCGAGACCATGGAAGAGAGCTGCTTACGGGCTTGTTACCCATGGCTTGTTCAGCCTGCTTTCATTCTTTTTTAAAAAATAATTTATCTTTCTTTTATGTGCATTGTTGTTTTGTCTGCATGTGTGTCAGGGTGTCGGATCTCGAAGTTACAGACAGTTGTTAGCTGCCATGTGAGTGCTGGGAATTGAACCCTGGTCCTCCAGAAGAGCAGTCAGTGCTCTTAACCACTGAGCCATCTCTCTAGCCCCCCTCAGCCTGCTTTTTTTTTTTTTTTTTTTTTTTTTTTTTTTTTTTTTTGGTTTTTCTCTGTATAGCTTTGCGCCTGTCCTGAATCTCACTCTGTAGACCAGGCTGGCCTTGAACTCACAGACATCCGCCTGCCTCTCCTGAGTGCTGGGATTAAAGGCGCCACCGCCACTGGGCGCTGCTTTCTTATACTACCCAAGGCCACCTGCCTAGGGGTGGTACAGCTCACAGTGGGCCAAGCCTCCCACATCCATCATGGATTAAGAAAATGTCCCCACAGACTTGCCTACAGGTCAATATGATGGAGGCATTTTCTTATTTGGGGTTCCTCTTCCCAGAGGACTCTAGCTTGTGTCAAGTTGACAAAAAAAATTAACCAGCACAGCTGGATAATACATCTGGATTAATCAAACACCCTTGATCCATGTAGTAAAGAGAGCCTAGAGATGTCGGGTTGTCCTTTCCCAGCCACGAGGACCTTTATGTCCCTCGATAGTCAAAGGAGCCTTTCACTAGAGAAGTTTGTGAATGTCAGAGGTGACAGACCCATGCCTCCTCTCCTGGAGACAGCTTCAGACTAGGCACAGCACACAAGGCAGAACCTGCTGGTCTCATGGGGTGGTGATCTGCACCCATACATTCCACGGGTCTGGTGAACCCAGAATTCCAAAGGGCAGGAGGTCCTCACACTGTTTGCAGTTCCTGACCTTACTCAACAGGTGGGTCCACATTAAACCGCAGCAGCCCTGGGGTGGCAGCGGTGTTCCTGTGCCCACTTATCAGTAGAGTCACAACACCACAGCCTCAGGGTTGAGAGACGGAGAGCCGTCCCCCAGCTCAGGGAAGGCAGGGGAAACTCCTCCACCTGGTTACCAGCATACAGTGCCAGCTGGCTTGACGATTAGTAACGAGGATTTCTCTCTGCTTCAGCCCGATCCTCATATTTTGTCTGTTTTGAAGTAGTGGTTTGGGAGGGGATGTGCAGGCTGGTGTGCATGTGTGCACATGTGCATGTGAGCACCTGTGTGTGTGGAGCACAGAGGTTGGTGGCCTGGGTCTCTCATTGAGTCTGGAGCTTGTGGATTAGGCTGGCCCATGAGGCCCTGAAATCTGCCTGTCTCTGCCTCCCCAGAGCTGGGACCTGCCTGTCTCTGCCTCCCCAGAGCTGGGA